GACCTTGAAAAATCCAAACTACCTATTTGTTTTTCAAAATTTGGTTAGGGATTTAGATTAAAAGTTAGGGCTATGAGTCAGGATAAAAAATTAGGGTTAGAGTTCTCATCACGAAATGATATCAATAGTAATATCTGTTATTTTTCTACTTGACATCGACATATTTAGACCTATTATGATTTCGAATGTACTAAAGATACTCTGCATTGTTTTCCTTCGTACTTCTTAAACTTGTGTTAATTTAATGTCGGTTATTTATTTACTTTGAAGAAATGGCTTATATTAAGTCACAAAACGTCAGAAATATAATTTATCTACTCGTTGGGATATAACAAAAATGTATTTATGATTAACTCTCTACCCTATTCTCAATTCATTTGAAACCATTAAGTCCAACCATGGTATTGATACGATATAATTAGTTTCGGCATTACTGCTTTGCATTTAAGAACGGAATGTGAATTTATTGCCATGTAAAACAATTCTTGGCAAGACAATAATTTATGGACTGATCAATCAGATATAAGATAACAGATCTTGGATTTTGGTGAGAAATCCATTCATTCATTTGGCTAAATAGAGTTTTGGCATTTTAGCCGACGTCAGTTCGTGATGAAAACCCTAAATTTAATTCCCAACCCTAAACATCAACTGTAAATCATAATTTTCATATCTCACATTGTTTTATAACCTTCATTTAGTCCCAGTAAGTAGGTGGACATTATCAAGGTGGCTTTTTAGAAATTTCATGCATTTGGTTTCCTTTATAAATTTAAATAGAGCAAGAACAAACATTGATGCAAAATAGTATGAATTCATATTATTTCGTGGTTTCTCGTCAGCTGCTGTAAAAAAATTCTATCACAATTTTGGTTTGTAAGAAGCTGACGAGAAACCTCGAAATAATATGGATTCATACTATTCTGCATCAATGTTTTTTCTTGCTCTATTTAGATTATCAAGGTGATTTTAGTGTCTTTTAAAGGTCGTTCATGAATTATAGTTGCACTCAATTCTCATCATTCTTGTGTTTAGAAGCTTTATCTCCAATGTTTTATTCCCTAGATTATTATAATTTTCATCTTGAGCTTTCATTGTCATTCTGAAAAACATGATGAAATTACTTTAACTTATGTAGAGGTTAATAGCTAGAGGTGGCCTAATTACATGGTTCACCCTCATCATGAAAGTGTATTTTTTTGAGAAGTCATTATCGATGACTACTTTGTAATGATTAGATCTGCTATCTGACTGAATGTGTTTTACCAATTATTATTGTTAAAACTATCTTGAATGCTTTCACAAATAAAAAAACACAATCATTAATGAAAACTATACTATAACAATGAGATCGCATAATCACGTGACACAATCGCATTCACTTATTTAACTATTCGATTGAGAATGAGATAATGAACTAGAGCAAAAGTATTATAATATTACACAATACAGAGTAATCGGTAAGTGAAATTAAAAATGGGATGAATTTTACAATATTAGATAGGCTCTTTCATATTTACAGTTGGATAACTTTGCCTTCAATTCTAGACAGGTCACTTGGATTGGATATATCAGACTACTGTCGCCCTTATTTTAAACATGGTAACACGTATCATGAATACTTGCAAATAACTTTTTGACATTTTGATTGGATGAAACTTTTCAACACTTATGAGACTCTCAACTGTCAATTCCTCACTGGCTTTTCAAAGTACTTTGAATGGTGTGCTTACAACCCTCTTTATAATTCCATTTTGTTCCATTTATTTAAAGATTGATAAAAAAAACTTTATTTTATGGACTGATTTTGTTACAGAACTTCTTATTAAATCATCTCCAGAAAACCATGTGGTATCACTTATTATGTGTTTACAAGTGACCAATTTCGAGTGGTGATTATTCTCGGAATTTTATTGAAAAGCCGTGGTTAATGTTATTCAACTGTATCTGATGTGAAGCACCTAATTACCAATGAGACTAGAAGACGGTCGTGTAATATCGTGAATTGAGTGAACTTAAAAATATAAATCATTGAAACCTGATTCAGAAGTTTGAAAGTTGATCGATTTCTGTGAGGTCTGAAGGTACACGACAGTTGTCCAATTCTTCCTGTTTTCTATTCATTATCTAACCAAATCACTCTGTGATATGAAATTTCACATTCAAAAATCCACACAACATATCAATAATATGAAAAGCTACTCTTCTCAATACATTGTTCAAATTATTTCATTGAAGAGGGAACACAAATACAAGATCAACGTTAATATCGATACGATTTTCAAACAAAATCTCGAATTAAAAATAGCCCGTCTCAACCCATTATCTATTGTGATTGTTTTCAGATATAATATATCATCCCTGTTATAGAGTTAAAAAAATAACCTTAGTGCATATATCCCATCATTATTACATATTTCCTACCTATATTTACTTGATTTCTTCATTGAATGGTTTATGGAGATCAGTTTAATGTGATAAATGACTAGATATTTTTTATTATTACATGCATAATCAAGTTATTTAATACTCAATCTATTTTTATTCTCTGCTTTAATTTTACACCACTTTTATTAATTGTATAATCTCTGGTTAGACAACAGTTCATTTTGGTCATTAATTATGTTAGGATTCCTCTCGCCCTATGTTATCTTTATATATTTCGATTTAGACTGGGATAGGATACATGCCTATAAATTTGCAGCGCGTCTAATTCCCATTTATTTAGTGAGGAAAAATGGCACCGAACAGAAAAACGAGACTACACAATATCAATGAAGGTGTTTATCAACTAAATAACTTTAATAATAAACCTTTAGGTAAGCAGATGGAATGTTTAAAATATGTAAATACTGAATAAGGATTATTTTTATAAAATAGCACTTTTCTCTAAAATTAAACTAGCTTATACGGTCATAAATTATGTAAAAAAAGGTCACTAATACAGAGTTTTGTGGATTTTATTAAATTTTGTAGTTTACATAAAAGATTAGTAAAACAACCACTGAAAACTGATAAATACTATTAGTATGTAAGAACTGAAATTCATAGAAGGATTCAAACGTTGAAAATTAATTTCTTTGACATTTGAATCACCATGGTGTCTATCTGGACTGCGTAGCTCAATGGATAAAGCATCAGTATTTGTATTGAAACGTACTGGGTGTAAGTCACAGAATGAATAACAACAATAGGATAATAGTACATCCAGCTGACGAATACCGAATTGAATGAAACGGATATCCTGCATTCCATTATAGTGGCCCTTAATCAGACTCCAATTTGATCGTTTCTGATTGTTATCGAATGGTTGCTGTCAAAATATACACTCCGCCAATCCTTGTGTATAATTATCAACGTAACTCCCGTTAGTGAATAACGGGATTAAATAAATCAAATACGAGAATGGAGTTTGAATGAGTATATTTCATACAATCGTTGATCTGAACAGATGATCGTTTGCAGAAAAGACGAGAAGAAAGCGAAGAGAAGAGAGCAAAGCGAAATGACGTGCGATGGAGAAGGCATGTAAGCTAACTTGATTTAATCAAGCGTTAATCGATATTTATAGTCAAAAATATTCATTGACCAAAAACAAGTTACAGATATGTGATGATTACGGTAAGCAATACACGCCACTAAACATCTATATAAAAACAGTTAGTATTAATAAGCTCAAAATGTGGCTCAAGAAGGGCGAATAAATTGGCCTGTCTGGAAGTTAGAACAAGCTATGTCGGCTTGACATAGCACCCAACACTACATAATCTCTGACCACACACTGAGTACATCAACCCACGAAGTCATTGTCGATGAACAAGTTGAATGTTTGATATCATATATTACAATTATGCCAACACCAATCTGTATAGAAAATCATGTCTTCGATCCTAATTAAACACTCAACTGATTTCCTAAATAACAAAATGATAACACGCCATACGAAGTGGATAAGTGTTAGGCAAACAAGAATTGAAATGATGCAGAAAAGCTCTTTCCATTATGATTATTTAACAAGATAGAAACTGGAAGATAATTCTCATCACTGACTAACATCAGATGTAGAACAAACAGTTCAAACTATCAAGCAGTACTAAACACTTGTCTCATCTTTGCTTGAGACTCATCAGTTGGGAATATACATGACAACACATAAGATTAGAATTAATTTAATTTGTAACAAATACGATACGTGAAATTAATTGAACTCTGTAAATCTCTTACATAACAAAAACTAAAAATTATCATCAATCTTTCAAGGACAAATTATTCAGAATACAAAACTTAAACTATTCAATATATGTGATGAAATTAGCTCACCGTTCACGAACAATCGGATATAAAAATGATTCATCTTTATTTTCCTGTTGTTCCTTATCGAAATGTTCGTAATTTATTTGAGAACAATCATGATTCAAAACAAACATATTCCTAAATGGCAATTTAGTATCACAAAGAGTACTGTGAATTTATAGTAAGGTTTTCTTTTTGGCATGTATTTTATTGGTGTATCTCAGTTATCTATATACCAATCATAAACATTTTCATAAAGTCATATTGTGGGCGTTAATAAAACAATTTCAAGGTGGAAAATTCTACATGATAATTGGTTAAAATGAGTGCCGGTTATAGAAGTAACCTTGAGATGACCTTAGAGAGAAAGTAAATATGACAATAAAACTTTTCTTAATTCAAAATTAATGAGATTTGAAAAAAAAATTATAAGAATTCTTTAGGTGGAAACTTTTCTTTGGTAAAAAGGAAGAAAATTTGGGAGTTTTCTATTGTGACTTTAAAATGAACAGGTTCTTCTTATGTTGAAACGGATACCTTGATATTAGAAATAGAATTAGAACAAAAAACATGCTTAACAATTCCGAAACTATAAAAAAATAATGACAACTGTATGACAAGAAACGACTATCATATAACATTTGAAGTGTTGGATAGTGTTGTTCTGTTTATAACAATGAAAATAAAATAAAGATTACTGTACTCACCCTGAAGCTATAGGTCTTCGAGGAATCGGTACATTGTCTGGGGTGAAATCCCATTCGACTAGTCCGGAAAACCCTGTTAAACTTGGAGCACCTGCCATACCGAGTTCAGCATAATCTCGACTTATTCGAGTTTCAGACAATCCAACTTCCTGAATTGGAAAAGAAAAGAAATAATATATGGACACAAATGAGTAATACTTACAGAAAAAATATTTAGATTTCATTGATTAAAGAATACTACTGTAATTACATATAATACAGCTTACCCGATCTGAATTTATGAACACAATTCATGTCATCTGTTATTAACGCTTTATAATATACATCTCGAAGTAACATCACTTAAAAGTCAAGAAATTACTAGGAAAATGTATTTTCTTCATCTAGAGTATGTTCAAAAATATGTTACTCAAGGTATCGATTACTCGAATGACAGTACCATTCAACTTGAAACTGTTTGTAAAAAACGTTTCTATTTATTGAAGGTATGTAGTCTATTTATTTAATAGGTAGTTAGACAATCAACATGCTGCCATATTGTATCTGGTGAGACTACCTGACTACATAAACCAAATCAGGAATCGTAAAACTCAAATCTATCAATCAAAGTCTTCTGAAGACCGAGATACTGTTTCAGTATTGATGCTGTAAATCAGCTCAGAAATTACATTTTATAGAAATTAAAAGGAGTACACTGAACATTTAACATTTCGAAAAACTGGGCAGACTTGATATAGTTATCATTTTATCCGATGAATAACCAAGACTATAGTTTATACTGTCCTTATATGGTCATACAAGTAAGGAAATTACAATAAACATTTCCTTCATCAAAAGATATAAGAAAAATAGAAAAATACACCAAGTTGTATTCCAATATAAGAAGAAATCATCGCAATAAATGAATGCATCGATTAGAATGCATGAAAACTTTGAAGAGGGTAGATCTCATCTTTAAAGCCAAGATACCATGATATGCAAATTAATGTCATCAACATTTACTAATCCTGTAAATTATCAGACAAGACATGTTATATTATGAATATTATGATTATTTAACTATATAAGGGAATACAAACGAATTTATATTCGTCATTTCATCAACAAAATATAACAAACATCGTAGGGAAAAAATGAACTACATTCAATTAATACTACTTTGGTCAACACCTAATAACCGAGGTGATGTTCAAATGTTAGGCTTATATATACATATATATATAGCTATAAGATTATGTAAAATTGACCGTAGTCATGGTAAAATAAAATTAGTTAGGAGCAGCTGCTATACGAAATAATGCTAATTGCCCACTGATGTTGATTATTGGATTAAGATTGAGCTAATGTCCACAAGATAACTACAACTGACAATCGAAAACGTGAGACAAGATAGCTCAAGTGGTATACACTTACAATGTTTTATCTACTCTCAAGTATTTTGAGCTATAATTGTTGGGATCTAATCGTATCAGTACTAATACGACCAGGTAACGTTACCGTAACTTTTCACAGTTTGGTACTATCATAATATTCCTAAAACAGGGATGCCCTGTAGTTAACACCTACTCCCGTTGGTCACCGTGTCACTGAAATACGAGATATATAGTTTCAAGTGCGAAACCAAAGGTTCCAGATCTGATTCTTGGTCACGAGATCGCAGATGAACACTATTAAGTACAAGGGCAAAATGAAAGTTCAATGATTCAAAGTTCCCACTGACTATTTCAATCATTTGATTGTCTTTAGCTACAAAACTACTCATGAAAGTTCATTCTTCTCTTAATCACCGGTTTCAGTATTCTTACTGGAGAGTTGAGAATGGATAAAGTTCAATAGAAGTTAGCTGCCTCAATGGACTCAGTAGTATTATTGAGATCAAATGAATTCCTATCAGTAACAAGTTACCTACTTCCTATTTCTTGGTAGTATTCATTCTGTATGGTAGAATTTTCGTTAATAATTGTATTATTATTATTAATTTCTATTCCTTTGACTAGCATATTGTTGATTACTTTTCCTTGTTTATGTCAAGTGCAATAACTCAAGCATATGAAATTCAAATCAAATCCCATATTATCTATGATATAATGATTAAGTACATGGAATTGGAGTCAAGTCTAAAACACATCAATTAGTTGAAGATCAAGAGGTAAGTAGTCGATATGAAATTATTGTATTGTTATATTCCATCATATTGAACAAATTATACATATATGTATATATTAAAACCTGCCTTGATTATAACAACACCGTTTGTGATAAACAATTGAGTTACAACTACTTAAGTACTGTTTTTTACGAAAAATCTAAAAAATGATAGAATCATATACAGTAATTAAAGAAATGTGATCAGAACATTAAACACTAATAAAGACTAATACAAGCGGATAATCTTACCCTGGTACCATAATTTAAATGTCCATCACGCCAATTAAGTGCGTGAGCATTTTCGGCTGTTGTGCCTTCATGTATACTATCTTCACCTGAGTAGATCAATGAATAAATAAATAAAAACATAAATTGAATATGAAGCAAGAAAACTGATAGACTTATAATGATTTAAGGGTAATAATCAGTATCATCAATAATTGTAAGAGAAGCAAGCGTGAGAAGTTAATGTTAACAAAAAATAAAATTCAGAGGTAAGCATTTGAATGTTAGGTTAGTGGAGGCAATTAATGACGCTGGGCGTAGGTTTCGCACTAATTGTTACTTATCAGCAAAACTGGATTTTTAAAAACCGATGTTTCTTATACAACAAAAACCTGGGTCGTTCAGGCTTACAGTCTGAGACATGGTCACTGTGCGTAGCGCACACGGTTTCAAGGTATATAGACTAATGGCTACATTACAATTTGATTGATATAATTCCATCAGTAACAAAGGACTATACAAAAATGATATTAGTTAATTCTCAATGATCAATCAGTTGCTAAGCTTCCTCTTTTAAACTTTATTATTGTCCAACTTATTTTGATCCCCATTTTTTATTTAACAATAAAGACAAGTTATAAATAGTTCCACCGTAAAGTTAACTTCTTAGTTTACTGATCCGCAAAATTTGATCATGAGTGATTGCTTCTAAAACACTGAGAAATGATCAAATACTATAAGTTATAACATACGAAATATAGTAAATTTGAAGAAACGATATTGGCTTATTCTGACCTTCATTTTCACCAGATTTCAGTGATTATCTCCATATATATAACATAGGATCAAAAAAACCAGTAGGATTATAAATAAACGTGATTTAAATACTTTTATGGAACAGATGGATTATGGCTAGTTGTGGAATTCAGGATACTTGTTCAGTCTTATTTGGGACTCATTAGTAAGATATACCTTTCATGATTTATTTATTTATTTATTATTATTAGCTTTATTCAATAATATGTATATTCTCAGCAAAAAGTAATTCAGTGCATTTCCGTTTCCTATTTCTTGATCGATCATTGCGATAAATATTGAGTGATCACGAGTTAGATATCAACATTTCAGAAGTCGATAGCTGAATAACATTCATTCTTTTCAATGTGTATTGCTAGCCATCATGATGTCTCCGGTTGTACATTTTTGTAACTTGTACAGAGAAAGGTCATAAACTTTTCACAAACGCACCTGGATAGGTTATGCAATTAATCGACATAACGATGTGTTAAAACAAACAAGAAGACAGATAACTTGTTGAAATATCTAGGCGGCAGGATCAGGTAGACCAGATATCCTAATATAAACTTGTAACAAAATAGCTTTACCGAGGCAGACCACACAGAATTCAAACATGCCAACTGAAACCGATAAAATTTCAATCGAAAACATCAACGTCAAGATAATTTAAACACTTTCTAGGTTCAGTGATAATATCAAACAATTATTCAGTATTTCTTGATTTCCAGTCATTATGTAGGTGAAATCTGCCTGTGATGTCAAGTGTCTCTATTAGGTGAACAACTTCTACAAAACGCTTTTTCAACAACATTGATACACCGAAATCGCAAATCGATCTAAGCAAGATCACCACTGGAAACCTGAAAGCACTGAATGATCGTTTCATCCTAGTATGAAATTCCTAGATAGTGTGCATCAGTGGTCCTGTAAGCGAGAATAAAATCCAGAAACTTTAGTCTCGTGCGCGAACGTTTAACCCACAAACCACTGAGTTGGCATTCAATGATGTTAGCGTCTAACTTCAACCAATCCACGATATTGCACGACCAGCTTACATTATCTTCGATGGGTCACTGCCTCAAACCCGACACGGTCGAACTCTACAAGTCATGGCTCCTCTAAAAAAATTCGGAAATCTGCTCTGAAAGCCAGTCACTATAGAGCACATGAATTCAATGATATTCGATAATCACTACGACCCATTACTGACAATTCTGAAACGTTTTGAAAATATCAGAAAAAGAAATGAACAAACTACAAAACAAAAATTAAAAGATTTAATGAACTAACATCATCACTTACCTGATACATTTGATAATTTGTCTGGAGCTATTTTAACGTGATTCACACCACCACTACGATGACCATAATGTTGTTGTTCATCAGAATGTTTGTTATCTGATTTGTGATGAGATTGTGGATGATGTTGAACATATTGTTGTTGTTGTGGTTGTATGTGTATTTGTTGACTAAGACTCTGTCTACTTTGTGCACGTGAAAATAATGGTGATGATGGCATAATTGTGAAATCCGGTTCAACTAAAGTAGAAAAATCAATAAATATTCCACCAACTGTAGCATACAGAAGTAAATAAGGCGAGTTGAAGTGAAAAATCGGAGTATAATACATACAACAGTAACTACGACTGCCACTACTACTACCAATACAAATACTAATACATTGCCTAGAATAACAATACACTAAGACTACTAGATAAGTAGCAATGTTTCTTATAACTATGATGATAGACAACGTGAATGGTGTTTATTAAGTTATTGAGCACTGTTTTTCAATTAGGTCTGTTGATAAAACACTCTAACAAGTAGGCAAATAAGTTCATAAATTGTAAATTGTTCATAATTATAGTGAATTGGTGAAAAGTTTAGTATAGGATTCCTCAGAAGTGCAGATCCACGGCCCAAGTACTGGTTGAACCCACAATTTTGAAACCATATGATGAGTGCTCCTTATTTATCAATTATAATTTCATTAATCATTGGATTTAAAAGTATCATATTCTAAATACAATGTTCCTTAAAACAAAACTGTCCAACTATAACAAATTAACTTTTCATATTCAATCTTTATAAGGAATCGTTACCCCTTCTCATCAGACGCACATCGAAAAATCATTATTATTACTGCATTTCTCCCTATGCTTATGTCTCATATTCTCATTATTTTATTCACAATTGCTCGTGATATGACTTCATTTATTTCGCATCACTATTACCTTTAATTACCTATAATTATTGTAACACAAACATTTTAATTATCTTACTACATTCACATTACAATTCGTTACCAACTTATTATGTCTACTGTTATTATTCGTATTGCGCAATCTAATATTATAATCTTTCTATTACATCATCTTAGTTATTCCTTGTTCACATTTCCTCACGGAATTAGTACTTTAACAAAAATATTTTCATATATATATACGATAATACAGCTTGACAACAAATTCGTTGAAAAGAGATCCCTTTGCTGGACTTCATATTTTTAATATTTAAATAACTGATCATTCAGTAGTAATCAATGTCATGCTTGTTTATTCCTTCAGTTTTTCATCATGACTCTACACTAATATATATATATATGATTTAGAATAATGAAATAATATTCATCGAGTAGATACGTTATGCAATAATTATATGATGACATATCGATTATAAATCAACATTGAGTAATTGGAAGAGGGTTAATAATAACCAAAGTAATTATTCGAAAATCAAGTAGTTGCCACGTTGCATAATATATAAAAAAAGGGAAGGAACTAACAAAATATTTTGATGAATGGTCAGTAGTAGTTATGTAGGAATCAAGAAACAAATGTTGAGAATAAGTAAAATACAAAAAAATACAAAAAATGGAAGTTTATCAAAGTTCTGCTACGAACTCCCCCATACCGATGGCCAGGGTAGCTAGAATGGTTGTGCAAACTTCTTTTGGATACAAAGGTTAGGTTTGTGAACATGGATTGCAATGGCTTCAACAATGTGCAAAAGACGCACTCGTAAACCATGTGACAAATTTGATGGAATATGGTGGATAACCTTAAAAGTTTTATTTAGTTCAACTTGATGATTTGTGTCCATCACGTGAGCGAGAATAGAACTCTTAATGGTGTTCTGTTATACGATGGCGAACTTTCCGAATTGTACACCCTATATAACTGGCTTCATAGGAGCAGTTACGACGATAAATACACATGGATGTGACGAATTCAGACAATCTGTCTTTACTAACCGTTCTTATTGTGGGGCGGTTGTAGAAGGCGGCACTCAGTTTGGTTGCATTAAATGTTTTTTGTACCGCCTTCCTTGACCTCTGAGTCACAATCTCTTCAGCAGTATCATTTAGGAATTGTAATTTTAAGAACAGTAGGTACCCTTGTCCTTATTTTCATCTTCTTCATGTGTTTGTCGATGAATTTCGTTGGGTATACATTCCTACTGAACAAGTTACGTATATTAAACAATTCATCTACAATAATGTCATCTTAGCAAATCATTCTAGCACGATGAGTCAGGATCTTTATCAAGTTTCTTTTGTATCTGATCAGTACGGCACTATAGGAACGAGTGTATTGTCCAGATGTAGACTTTCTGTGTGACCCTCTTTTTAAAGTTCCATCTGCTCGTCTAGTTAGTTGAACATCTAAAAATGATGTTATTGTTCTGTTCTTCCTCTAGTGTAAGTTAATTGATGGGTGAATATTATTAATTTTCGAAAAATTACTTTGATTATTATTAGCCTTCTTTCTTCTAATTGCTCAATGTTAATTGATAATGAATATGTCATTATATAATTATTGCGTATCGTATCTAATCGATGAGTATTATTTCATTATTTAGACCATATTTATATTAGTGTAGAACCATGATGAAAAACCAACTGAAAAGAAATTTCTTCGCTCGACTCGTTCCTTTTTTATTTACCGAATATCAAAATGGGATTTTCACGATATTCCTTTAGTGTCTATCGGATTCTGTCAATTAAATTGTAATACGTGCGTTAGTCAAAATGATATCAAGTGGAATATGTTCGGAAGTTTGTTAGATGCTCTTGACATAGGTTTTGTGCTAGTTAATATTCATTAGAATTTTCTGCTAACTACCTTCAACTTCTTTACAAGAAACAGCTTTGTTAAATAACATACATCGAAATAAAAATATCACCTAAAAAGCCAAAAAATACGGTGTAACATACTACATTCTTCTTCAGTATCTGTAATTGGATTATCTCTCATCATGTCTGGATGTTCAAGACCAAGTCGATTAGCAGAGATATGCTGTTGTCTACTCAAAGAAGAATTATGATACTCTGGACCAGATGACATAGATGATGCCAATTCTGCATTCATTGGCAATTCATCGGTATTTTCATGCTCCCATGATTCTACACATGTAGTTACCTGACGTAATGCTTCAAATATATTTAAATAATGTTGATGGCGAGCAACATGCGCTGGTGTCCAACCATACTAAAAAGAAAATAATAGTTATTATTATTATCATTATTATAGAAATGACAATATAACATTAAATATGATAAGTATTAAAAATATTGTGGTGTAAAATGAATTCATAAACAGTTTCCAAAATTTAAAATGAAAATGGAAAAGTATATGTAAGTAGCAGATTTCCCTAATATCTATGATTGTAAATAAACAGAGGTATTCGGTATGAGAAATCCTATATACAATAAACGAACAATCATTGTGTCATATACACACCATAATTGATACAGAATAAACCAGAGGAAGGTTTTTTTAAGGAATGGTGGTAATTCAGATAATGCTGGAGATATTGTATTTATTCACAAGTCTGTATGATGAGATGTAAATGTGAACAGAGCTTTGCGTAAACTTTAGATTAGTCGGAACACTACCACACAGACTAATAAATGACATTCCATTAGAATCTTAGATTAATGTTTTGCTCACGAGTTGTAAGCACAATATCTGTCTTACAGGAGATTAGTTAATGCCCTATTAGCTCAGAAGTGTGAAGCTAGGTGACTTAGGTTTGAATTTCATAGAGATTACCAGTTATCTCAAGGTTGCAAATAAGCTTTTCTTGACGAGTGCCAACTTGTACGAGAACCAAATTCGGGGTTTCCTGTCGACTACATTTAACCATATGACAACACCTTTGTTAGTACTATTAGCATATTTCATAGATATTTTTATTTACATTGTTGGCATCAACCAGCATTTTATCATACACTACATCAGCGACTATTTAACACTTAACCGACCTAGGTCTACCGATGTACATATGTACACGTATAATACCACATCTAAATCTGAATAGTACATTAATAAACCAATCATACTCAGATGATTGAACAGCTGAAACTATTTCTACATTTACAACAAAATAAAAATAAATGTCGGCTCAATGGTCTAGTAGTTAAGCGCTCGTGTGCGAGACCGATAGGTACTGGGTTCGAATCTCGCGAAGTGGGATCGTGGATGCACACTGCTGAGGATTCCCACAATAGGACGAAACGGCCTTCCAGTGCTTCCAGATTCTATATGGTGTGTTAGCTTCAACTGACTAATGATTCCAACCACACAAAATAAATGTCAATTTTTTTTATGAATAAATACATCAATTTTCACTAAATCTACACACCAATTGTCACTTCTTTCAGTTATAGAATTAAACAAATAAAAACAATTAAAGACAGGAATACTAGTTAATAATATATATATGATATTAAAAGGATTGATTTGATAAATTTACATAAAATGATCATTGAGATAGCTTGTTTTAATAATACAATTGTCATAGAAATACATATATCAAGAGTATTTTACTTAATCCTCCTTACAATTAACAAAACTAATTAGTCACTGTATTCATTAAGAAAGAAAAATACATAGAAACAAGAATAAACACGATCAGTTCTATATAGATATTTATTTATAGTGAAATTCAATTATATTGTTGACCTTGTTTATATGCATTTCAAAATTACTAATATATGATAGACACGTATGTAATATACGTGAAAATATGAAATTATATTAAGTGGAATAAAAGTGGTTGGTAGTTCAACAACTAAGTGTTATATACCTAATAGTTTGGATACAGTATATAACTACTGTATTATACATAATTGTGAACTAGTTTTATTGATTAATTAAAGTATTTTTTGTTGGGTATAATAATAATAATCCGTGTAAAATTTTAAGTTCAATAGTTGAAAAAAACGTACAGGATTGGTTACATATATTTTTTCCAATGTTCAATATATGTATCCTATCTATCATTTTCAAGTATTTTCCGTTCATCTCATGGGTGTGTATTGTATAGAAGGGGGAAATTTTCAATGAGAATTTCGTTTAGAACCATAACTCCTACTTTATCAGTCTTTTTTCATACAATATGTTGGGATGCGCCTCACTGCAGTATTCATAGCAAACAGATGTTAATGGGTTCACTAAATGGATGAAAACGCTAGACACTGTACACTTGTTGAAAAACCTTACATCAGCTCACTTGTCGAAAAGATTTTAGTGGGATCTCAATGTGAAGTCGTGGGTACCCACCTTCTGGAAAAGTCAGGCTAAGATGAAACAGCTGTCTGGTATTCTCTGGTTTTCAACGACTCTTTAACTAAGATCAGTCTATGATACCAACCATATGACCATCGTAATCTAATTTATTCCAGAACATTGTTTCGTGAATTTCCTAGCTATATATATATATATATATATATATATATATATATATATATATATATATATATATATATATATATATATATATATATATATATATATATATATAAGCAGTAAGTTATAGTTATAGTAAGTTATAGTTAAGCAGTAAGTACACAAACAAATTTCAAACTAGTTTCAAGTTCGTTGTCTAAAAATATAATCCTATATATCAATGACGAACTATACGTACGCAATTTTAACAACTAATACATTTTGTTGGATCAGATTTCTTTTTTGACGATAATCAATAAAACACAATGTACTTCTGGAAGTATTTAATTCAAGAGTTTATTATTTTCAGAATGGTGATTTGTGTAGATTGTAGTTGTTTTAAGAGTTGAATTCATGAGTCGATCTAAGCAAGACCACCACTTAAAACATGGAAGCACTGGACTGCAATTTCGTCCTTGTACGGCACTCATCAGTAGTACGCGTACACGATCACGCACACGAGACTCGAACACTGGACCTTCGGTCTCGCACTCAAGCACTTAACCTCTAGACCACTGAGCCGGCATCCAACGGTATTGATGTCTATCTTCAATCGATTCATGATCTTTTGAGACCCTTCATCCATTGTCTGTTACCACCCGACATGAGTTGGACTCCACTGGTCACGGCTTCTCACTAGAGAAATGTAATTAGTTGGAGTGAACACCAACACTGGGATGCAGGTACATTCAGCTGATTAGTCCCAAGTGTGACAAAACACGTGCCCTGTATTTTACTGCTGGCCACCATTCATTTCTGCCAATAAAGTTTGAAAGATACTTTTGATTTTATTGAATAGGAATCAGCGCATTAATTTAAAAACTAATTGAATAGTTTCTTTTGGTGTGAAGTCATTATTTTTGAATGTTTCCTCAGGAGAAAAACTATTTTGATATAATATGTTGTACTGATAGACTGAGGTGTTTCTTGCCGAACAACAATTCAAGTATGGATTGTCATCATGAACGAATAGGTCAGCCTCATGTTTTGATAAACAAAACCTTTTTTGACTGATGAATATCTTGAAGTTTGTCTGTTCATATCCAATGTCATATAATGGAAGTAGTGTGATATCATTGCTTTTTTGATGCAACAGCATTATATACTGAAGATTAAGATGAAAATTTAATAGGAAATATCATAAATATACGTAATTAATCACCTTGTTACGCATATTTGGATTAGCACCACTTTCTAATAAAATGTAAATAACTGTCGAATGACCTTGTTGTGCAGCTAAATGTAAAGCATTTGATCCCATACATGTTATAGCATTTACATCAGCACCTTTGCCAAGTAAAAATCGAACCATATTTACCTAGTGGAAAGAGATAATGCAAAATACATCATAGGTAAAAAAATTTAGTGTTTTCGTTATTTACTCATTCACCAGGTATAGAGAATTATTGTACTTTGCACCGAGGTACACTTTAAGCGTTAGAAAGGAAGAAGCTTGTAGGGCCAGTGAAATGTCACTGAGCCCTAGCCAAATCATCCGGCAGTTGGATCACTGAATGTCGAACAGATCATCGCTCCCTGCCAAGGTCATGTACAACCAACGCGCATTAGTTAATCGTATGCCATGGACTGGCCCATGCGGCAGTGGTCTTACTTTCGTTTGTATCTACCTTAACTAATATATTTCTGTAATAACGTCCTCTGTGTTGTACAGTCTTCAAAGCATCTATAGTACCTTGATACGTCAATGGGGTAGTCCACATAAGGTGCTGACCACGAGGTGTGACTTCGACATCAGCTAGTTTGTCACACCATTCAAATCTAACTCGAGTAGGCCTCCAATCATTTCGACATAGATCATCTACGTTGGTGATCTACAAGCTATTCGGTTAACTAAGGTCGATAGGGTGAGAGTTAGAATCTGGGAACAAGTGACTGGAAGTTGAACGCTTTGATGGCTAAGCCACAGCTTTACGAGAATTTAAGAAGACGAATAAAGTAACTAGATGATCGCTTGGAATGCACTACACACATCAAGAATTCCTAACGACAATGTATTAAGCTAGCAAGAAAAGTTAATATTTACATTATGATGTTAGTTGTTTTAACCGATTTTTGATCGTTCGAAGTTTCAGACTGTTAGACGATTATTGGTTGGGTTGAACTTTTGTTTGTTAAATGCATTACTCTCACCATGGACTGATATAATCTGGTGAACCATTGAAAATAAGACAACACTAGACATATCTACTTTGAATAACTGTGAAATTATTCATCAGAGCTCAACCACAACCCTGTTTGACGTTAGATAAATGGTTTGCTTACCGTACAGTAATCAAGATACGTTTAACAACGGAATTTGGATATAAAGGTTTACAATTTCATTTCTCTAAGTAAACTCACCATTAGACAATATAAGGAGTATTACCTAACTACACAAGTCATATAGTTTCTCACTAGAACTTGATCAGAACCATTTTAGAAGTAGTCACCTGTGAAAATACGATTGCTTTCATTTGACTCCTCAATTTCATATGACTTATCATTCCTCAAAAGTTATTCAAACATAAATAGTTACACACACATAAACAGAGGAATTAGCAGCAACGTAAGATAGTTATGGTATGAAACCGCTTTAATACTATATATATTACTCACTTGACCAAAATGGCAAGCTGTATGTAAAGGAGTATATCCTGCTTTTGTTTTCAAATCTAACTCAGAACCAGCGTTAAATAATAATTCTGCAGCTTTAACACTATCCTCTTGTGCTGCTAAATGCATTGCTGTAAGGCCATTCTAGACATAAAAATAAATTTAAAAAATTGTAAGTTTAAATTAAATATTAAAAATTAGTTATTTATTGTACAGACATGAGACAGTAAATTGTTGTCACGTAATTTAATTTTAATAAACCCTTATACTGATATATACTCCCTACAAATAAATATCATGAGTCCCACATGATGACGAAACAGCCGTCCAGTGCACTCAGGTTTCCAATGGCAATCTAGTTAAGAAAATTACTTCATGATTTCAACTGTAAAAATATAAGTGATTAGTTTGATAATTTAGTAATGGGATCTATCAACTGACAATAGATCTAGTGTTGTGAATAAAAATTCGCCTTAATAATGATGTGGTGTATGCTACTTATGCCGACAGACGGAAATTATAACCACCACAAGAGCGACTGTTTAAAGGGGGGACGAATGCGGTGTATGCTACTTACGTTTGTCGACATAAGTAGTATGTAACACCAGGCACAAGTGGAACGCCTGACATCAGAAAGATGAGAAGATCGTAACGAAGAGAACGGAACAGAGCATAATTGTAATAGCAATGAAGGAACGATGAAGATTCAGACAATTGATGGAAAATTTAGAAATGAAATATATGATGTATGACTTCACAATAAATCGGTCTTCTCCACTTGTGTTTCCATTTACAACAATGAGATTAGAAGAAAAAGAAAACTATTGTACTGAGAACTAAAACAACTTATCTTTTATAAACAATATATGTAACTGAAAGTATACAACTCTTTTAAATATCACATAATATATACGATTAATAGTGGATGTAGGCAAAAATTATAAAAGGATTTGGTAAAATTGCACTTCTGCTTATTTGGAAGCCGAGTCAATTTCACTAGGAATAAATCTACGATTAGATCGACAAACCATTCAGTAATAGCATTGCTAAACTCCAGGTACAATTTCATACTGAAGGTCTACAAAGTAGTTTCTTCAAGGCGAATAGAACATGACTACTTGAAAAGTAAGGTTGGTAAGTATTAATGAAACCACTGGATTTAAAGTATACATTGTAGCTTTAACAGAATTTCCAAAAAGTACATTTATAAGAACGTTATAAAAGTTATACTCTTTAATCCAAAATGAGATCATGAGATATGAAAAAAATTTTGACATTTTATTGTCAACTTCATGTGTATTTACTGATGGATCTAGTTACATTGTTTAAATTATTAGACATGTTCAACCTCTATCGTTCAAAAAGGGATAAAAGAGAACGATTAGAACATTCAGACTTTAATATGAAGTTAATTCTGGAAAGCAAACTGATTTCGGTAAGCAGATTTTAAAAGCTATCCATTGTATGCTACTTATTGTATGTTATATATCAGTAATTAAAATCTTAATTAGGGCAAATTTAATACGCATTTGCCCTTAACACGTTTTGTACCTGCGTTCAGCATTTGTATCACCAAACATTTTTATTCAAATTAAACATTCAACATGTGAAGATAATATCCTCCACTATCCCCCACAACTTAAATAACATTTTTACTCAGCTTTTATTACTGAAATAATAACTCACTGTTACCAATTGATGTTATTAACTGTAAAAATGTCTTCTAACTATTATGGTATAATGCTGTATATGTAAGCAAATACGCTGTTTTTAATATTTCTTATCTTAATTTCAATAGTTATTCATTCTAAAATTAAACTCTAATAATAAACTCACTACTACTAGTATTTTACACTTGAAAAAAGTCAGCAAACTCATGTTCTAGTGTACACTCATGGAATAAGAAGATAAAGGAAATGAATACAGTTTATTGTGAAATTAGTTCAACTACTGAACGCTATTATTCCCAAGTATTTAAACACATGTATTTCTTAAAACTCACCTAACTACTATAATCAAAATAAGTAGTTAGAAATTGAAATGTTATTAAATTATAGTTATCTAAGCATATTAATTTGCATCTGAGTAGTTAAGTGTGTAGATTTACTAATTAATTTATCCTACATGCACGTGCAAAGATGTCCTAAAAAGTGTTTAAGAATTCAAGAATTAGGATACATCAGTGAATGTGTATACTAAGTTACTACATTAGCTGGACTCTTTGAATCCAGAGAATAAGGTGAATAAATTTATAAATAAAAACACTTCTAATATAACTGTATAGAGGTGTGAGTTACATTCAGTGTAGTGGGGTGTTATAACTAATATAAAACTGAAATTGGACTAAATATTTGTAATGGTGTATGAATTTCGACTTACATTAACAGTTTTGAATTAATTGTAAACAAAGCTGTAGTTGGAATAACATCATTCGCATGCCAACAAAAAAAACAATAACATAATACTACAGTCATTATGTGTAAAAACACGAAATTTTCAAACCACTGTTAATAAGTTCTTACACGTTGAATAGGTTAGCAGATATCTCAACTCAATTGTTCAATAGAGAGAGAAGTATAAGGTCAAAGTTTCAGTGTGAAAACCAAATTTGGGATGTAGGTATATCCAGTGAAAAAATCTCTAATAAGAAATAACACCCGTTCTCAGTTCCACCGCTAACCACATACCAAATATACCAACATTTATGACATAACCCTATCTCAAAATAATATGCTTGCGATGTTCATATGACAACAGCAACTGGTAAATTACTATACTAAATATCAACTATGGAAATTTATTCTAAACCCTTACTACTACTACTACTACTACTACTAATAATAATAATAATAATAATAATAATAGTAACAGTGATAATAATAATACAATGGCTTACTTTCGCTAAAGCATTTACTTTAGATCCAGAATCAATTAGTAATTTAGTCATTTTCTCATTTCCATCTTGACAAGCTAAATGTAACGGAGTGAAACCATTACGTGATTGTATACTACAGCAACCACCATCGAAACCACAACCGCCATTATCATTAGTATTTTTCATATTCTTATTATTAGTGTCAACAGTAGCTTCAATTAATAATTTGCCAATATCCACTAAATGTTTTTCTGCGGCAATATGCAATGGAATAAAACCATTTTTAGCTTGTGAAACTGGAGATGCCTAAAATTGAAAAAAAAAAAAATAGAGGAGGACAGAAATAATTATACGATTTTTAAAGTAATGTGTTGGCATGTTCGGATGTATAACTACTGAAGAAAAATAAACCTAGATTTATTAAGCCTTTGTAAATACATAATTGTTCAGACTCGTGAGGAAGTCTGTAGTATCTTTTATCTAGGTCATATTACAATGCTAAATTTCACTGTTATCTAATTGTCTTTTTTCGCTTTTGGTTCACTATTTTTAGCTCAAGGTTACATTCGTTATTACGTAAACAAGGCTGTTATAGTATAATTTTGACTTCTTTTGATATCACACAATTTCCAAAAATCCTGATTTCACCCTTTCCCATTGTTAGTGGGAAAGTGTTGTGTATAAATCAGCTGATCTATTTACTTTTCAGAGATCATGTTCTTATCAAAAGAGTCAGTTGTTTATAATTCGAGATTATCATAAGTTATAACCACATATTAGTGATCAAAAAACGAATCAGGAATCGAACAATGAGTAAAGTTTAATCAGTTCTAAAATATCAAACCAAACTATACATATCAATGACGGAATAAAAAACAGTTTTTGCCACTTACTCTGAAGAAGTGCCTTACATTAAGTTACGAAACGTCAGAAATACGATTTTCTACTCATTGAAATATTGACAGATAATTCCCATTTAAACATTAAAATTAAAACACAAATTTCAGCGAAGGGATCTCTTTTCAACGAATTTATTATTATCATTGAAATATAACAAAAATTATGTTTATTATTAAAGATAGTTTTTCATTTTAGTAAATCACTAGCGTCCTTTTAAACTTAAGCAGTGATTGAGTATCACTATATAGTATTCATGATAAGTGAATTGATGTATATTCACAACCACACATACAAAGACTAATCTAACTTTATTGGAACTGAAATTTCAGAAGCGTGGATAATGACCATTCAATATTTCTACTACCCTAAATCCTAATGTTTTGAGTATGATATGTAAATAAAGACGTTTCAACTGAAAAGCCCTAAATTAAGTTTGTAAAAAAGAGATATGAACTTCAGAATTTTAAACAGAATTCGATAGTGGATAACAGTGGAATCAAGGAGGCTCTCTCGTCAGCTGGATGCACTAGCACCCGTGTTAGTGTTCACGCGATGATTAGAACCTGGTAGCTTTCGTTTTAAATGATCAGTACGTTATTAAGTTAGCTACTGAGTCCAGATAAATACTGACTTGAGCAGTGGGATAGACTGCAATTGACCAAATATCTTTTTGGTATACATAGATCCTGTGTGAATTACCTCGTTATTGCCATCAAGCTACAAACATTTTAATTGCAGTCAATAACATCAACGAGAACATTTAAATAAATACCAATAAAGATGAATATGGACTTAAGGTTTACATACAAGAAGTATCAACCAAAGAATGTGTCAAGAAGACGAAGCAGAGAGGAATGAAGGTAAATAATTAAGAATTGTCAATAATTAAGTGATCCCGTCAAGTTCTCATTGAGTATAATCAATGATAAAATGCTTTAAATTTTGTTGAAATTCTCGGAGAACTTTGGAAATGTTTGTGAGAAATGTTTAAAACCAGTGATAATGAAAAAATAAGTCTAAATAATTCTAAAATCTCTATTCTATTCTCATGCCTAAGGTATATTGTTTCAAGACTATAAAAAACTTCTTCACGATTACAAATACACCTAGGATGAGATAGATGTTAACAAATTTAAAATAATATGGGCTAAAAAACGTTTACTGTAGTGCAGTATACTGTGACCTTTTACATTACTTAGTTTAATAGCTACTATGCAGATAAGTCAATCATGTTTGGCGAACTATTTTTACTTGGCAAAAATCGATCATTAAAATATCACCAATTAAATTGATCAGTTAAAAGATGGTCCTTTTTCAATACCTTATTATTATAATAGTAACAACTAATCAGTCCATTAACTAGTAGGAAGAAAGGATATAAAATTGACTATATGAAACTTATTTGTTAAAAGCAGCGTTATAATCAATAAAAGTAACTTTAAGAGCAATGATATTTGAAATGCAGGTAGTCTAAACCAAGTTTCTATTCTCTTATTTTTCTTCATATTCCTAATTAATACAGTTCTTGTCTGACGGTTTATACACACCATTTAGTTAAATCAGCACTTCATTTACGTAGTCAGCGGTTGGACTCAGCCGTGATGGTAGATAGGTAAAAATTACCTAGTTAGAGTTTACACGATTATCTTAATCAATAGTTTCAGATGTTGGATAAAATGACTCAAGCTCAGACACAATGAAGAATATGCATCCACTCTTTGTCTTCCCTCAAACCTCAGCTTCCGAAACTATGTTCATTATTCCCTCTCGAATCATAGTATCTGTTCCTAACTTCTTCTACTACTGCTACTGTTTCTACTCCAACTATTCTGTTATCTCACTGTACTGATCTAGTGTTGTAATGTGAGCCAATTCACATATCTCCCAGGTCCTGCATTGTCCATGCCCAACTGACTCTTGTTCAATAAAAACATTTAAAAATATATTTTGTACATAATCAACTTAGTTATTTGTACGAAAAACCTGTTTCCTGGGTTTAACACCCGTGGATAAGCACTAGGATAGAACAGCTATCCAGTGTTACCCAGTATTCATTGATTTTTCAACTAAGATCAGTTCATGGTGTTAACTATGAAGTGATATTTAATTGAAATCTACGTGAACATGATGAAATTGATTGGTTTTATGATTAAGACACAGGAGAAAGCTTTAATATAAAAAACAACTCACTTTATGTTCAAGTAATAATTCAACCATAGGTAAACATCCGTAATGTGTAGCCAAATGTAATGGTGTTAAACCATTACGTCCAACTGCATTCATATCAGCACCGGATAAAAGTAAAAATCTAGCTGTTTCTAAATGCGAATGTTTCACAGCTAAGTGTAATGGAGTGAAACCAGACTACATGATTGTGAATGAAGAGAGATATAAACAAAAACCTTTATTAGTAGTATGGAAAGAGATTTGAAAACAATGTAGAATTTTCGCAGTTCAAATTATGAAATGTTCTTAGTTAGACTAACGTATAAACCTGGAAGTAGACGATAGTTTGCTTGTCCTAGCATGGGACTCCTCAGCAGATCCTAGGTTCGATCCTCGGATGCCGAGTGGTGAATGGGCACTGCTGAAACGTTTCATATTAATACGAAATGGACGTTCAGTGCTTTCAGGTTTTTAATGGTGATCCAACTAAGAACACTTCGTGATTTATACTGTGGAAATAATTTATGCGAAATTAAAGAAGGAAGTTCGAAATAAATAATGAATTTATTGAAATAAAAAATGACATGTATCAAACAAAATAACCTTTTTTGATCTTTTTTCAACTGTATTTATTCCATTACTACGTTAAGAGGGTAGACTGAGCAACTCTAGTCAAATCTAAGCAACCTAAAATTTTGGGACAACCGGGCATCTGTCCGAGATACCACTACTTTATGTCTTTTTGCACATTAATATGAAATTAATAAAATGAATACCAAAGTAGCAGAATTGATAGTACTAATGATAACGAAAATGGCTAAACATAGAGATTCTGAGTGAAGAAAAAAGAATGAACCCTCAGGATAAAAAGTATGAAATCTTATTGAAACTCTGGATCTACGAGTAAACTAGGAGTAGATGAACTTAAACTGCTATGACTGACTCCAACCACTGATCGCAACAATCAAGCGGATCGCAACTAAATATTCTGTACTTACTCATGATCTATGGGAGAGTTATGAATAGACATTATCGAGGCTTTTCGAACTATGTTTAAAAACAACTGTTAAATGATTCCTATTTTCTATACACAGCATATTTATAAAGTAAACATTAAATTACTTATGATTCACATCATCATTACCAAAAACTCTTGAAGCGAGAGTGTACTGAACAGTTGGTTCGCCTGAATATGGAACAGTTCGGCAGCACATAAACGCTATCGTACTCAGGACCTTCAGGTTTCCGACTAACTGCTCAACCTTTAGACAGACAAGTCAGCGTGATGTAGACGATAAGATTCAACCATTCCCACAAACCTCTTACACAAACATTAATCTGTTTAAGCAAAGATGTATGGTGGCGAGCAGTGGAATCAAGGAATCGTCAGCTGGATGTCCCTACATCCCAGAGTTGATGTTCACTCTGGAACTCGAACCCATAACCTATCGCTTCAAACGCCATTGTGTTATCCACTTAGCTACAGGTACACCAGGTTGACGAGTCCCGAAGAGGACGAAACGCACGTCCTGAATTTTACCACAAACCATCATCCATTTTGCTTAATATTGAGGCAATCCATAAAGAATGCACATATGCAAATAAGAGACTGATCAATTGCAGTCCTAAACATTATTGGGAAGATTCAAACAAACAGTACAAAATGTAATTAAAAAAGCACATTATAAATCATTATCAAGAATATAGAGAAATATGAAACCAATATCCTAAAGCTGATAACAACTAAAGAAAGCTCGCCATAACAATTCCTTTAAGTATTTTCCCCATAGATATCAACTCGATCATCTTTATTTCTGAATTATTGTATTCAAGTATCCATTACGTTTATTAGGAAAGTAACATAAATTGAAAATAAACTACAAAATACACAGTCAGGTTGCGTAAATTCTTTTATAATAAGATAAAGATAAATAAACCAAAATGAATACTGGACAGTCATTTCTTTCTTGTGTTATTTGATTTTACCACAACAAAAATATTTGATGACATATATAAACGGGAAATACAGCATAACTGTTAATTTCATGATTGGTGTGCAGGCCATAATAATACTAGAACACTTTGGATAATTTGACCCGGAATTTCAATCCACAAGACAATGTGTTTATATCAGAATGATCCATTTTGATGGTAGCCAGTGACTAAAATAGGTGCATACACAACTCGTTCGTCTAACATTCTAAAGACCACGTCCACTATCGGTTTGAAATCAAGGTTTCTCAATTGATCAATTACTTATGTGCACCGGACATTGGTTTCCACTTTCTCATGTCCGTGTTAATATTGCCCTACTTCAAGTAAACAGAGTGTATGATCTTTCCTCACTATGGAGGATATAAACAACCGGCTTATCAATTCTCGTTCAGGGTTCCTCGTGTGAACCATTCACACCATTAGAATCTAGCATGTTGTCATTTACAGACATAGTCAAAGATAATATTTATAGTTAAATAAATTAAAATATTTTATAATAAACAATAATATTCAATTACCTTCGTTGTTATTTCTAATTCTGCTCCATTTTTTAATAATAGTTCACATATCTCTTTATGATTACCTTTTGCAGCTAAATGTAATGCTGTATAAGTATCTTTGGTTGAACACTGTACATTAGCAGCATATTCCAATAGTAAAGTGACTAATTCTAAATTACCAATACGTGATGCTATATGAAGTGGTGTCTGGTTGCCCTGATTTTATAAATAATTAGAGAGAGGAAGAGAAAGATGAATAAAGGAGAAGAGAAAAGGATGATTTATTGATCTTTTCTCATTAACCATCTATGAAAAAACAATATTACTGTGCATTTTTCAATTAATAAGTAATACTTGTTCTATAACAGAAACATTTGATTGAAAACTAAGATTTTGAAAGATGTACTCTGTTTAATTACATAGTCTACTTCATGAATTGATTTCAGTTAAACAATCGTTGAAAAGTAGTTAGCACTGATTGAACCAGTGACTAGTGGAATTCAACTGTATCGAGTGTCAGACAATTTCCCACTAATATCACTGGGAAATGGTCACGTGAAATCATGAATTGAATGAAAATAGATATGTAATCAATTGAATTTCAACTCAATAGTTCCAATGTGAAATGCTCGCTGTGAGAACTGAAAATTTTGAGTTTGATCTCTGGTGTGGTTGTAGAGAAACAATGTTAGGAAGTTTCATATACGAACGAGACAGCTATATAGTGCTTAGTGGTCTTCACTAAATGTTTAATTGAAGTCAATTAGTTAGTTTAACTATAAAATTCAATAATCTACACAAATCCATTACGCTGATAAAAGTCTTTTTGGTACTGAAGGAACAGTTTGTCACATTTTTTAATCTATCACACTAGAAAATATATGATCTTGTAGCCAGAATGTTCTGTAACAAGTATTAGATAATATTTGATAAGAACACATTTTCTCAAACATCTTGAAGCAAGATCTCAAATTTAAATGATGAAATTTAATGATCTCTGAGAACTAACACGAAGAGGCAGTTGATAATTGAATTCGAATTATATGTTAGTTCACTTACCACAGTTGAATTGAATAGATTATGTTTATGGTTGGAAATTAAAATCACAATAATCTGTTGTCTTATTGTAGAAGTATATGTTCACGTACATGAATTAAGTAGTAAACAGTTAAGAACTTTACTGATCATCAAAAACAACCAGAGATTAAATGACGATTTTATCACAGAACACAAAGTAAACTCTCTTTTTGTTTACAAACTCTAAGGGTAAGAGCATAGATTTGGATTAAGACCTGTAGGTTTATGAACACGGTGCTATATTTGTTCATGATTATGAAATGAACAGAAATTCTTAAGCTTTGTAGAAATAACTATACAATGCTTACTATTGGTAATTCCAGCATTTTTACGTCGGAAAAAACATCAAACAAAAGAATACACAATAATGATTTATTGGTATTAATTTTGTGAACTGTGACTTATTTGACAGTATTAAAGCATTATTTTATTACGTCTATATTACATGGGAAACAAATCTAATACGTGATATAAACGTATACATTTTAGCATAAGTCTTGTTCCATAAAGGGAAAAAGACAATGCATAATATTGAATAATATAAGTATCAATACTATGGTTGAAATTGATCATTTCAAACAAGTTGAGTATTGGGTAGAGAGTTAATCATAAATACATTTTTGTCATATCCCATTGAGTAGAAAAATTATATTTCTGACGTTTCATGATTTAATGCAAGTCACTTTTTCAGAGTAAATAAATAACTGAAATAATCATTATTATTGAATAATACATAGTTGGGATTCAGATTTGATAAGAATGAAATCGTTGATTATTTAACGAATTCCATACTGGTTTTATTAAACAATTATCGGTGTTCCTCTCACTTATATAAACTAGTCTCTTAAAAATACATTGAAACATTTCATTACAAAAATAGTGGATCAGTTTCGTTCCATTAATTATATAACTTACTCTAGCTTTCACATCCACTTGAGCACCATTACGTAAGAGTAGACGAGCTACATCAATTTGTCCAGCACGTGTTGCCAAGTGTAAACTAGTTTCACAGCGTACAGTTGGTGCATTTGCATTAGCACCATGTTGTAATAATAAAACGACAATATTTAGATGCCCCATGAAACATGCAACGTGTAATGGTGTTAAACCAGACTAAAACGAAAATAAGTACTGAGGTGATATAATAATGCAATGATATAACAAACAAAAGTACAGTCCCATTAGTTTTTTCTGTGATCTTTATTGTCATGTTTTATTAATTATTTGCCATCTGATTATATTTTAAATAAAAATGACACTTTTAATTGGCTGAAGTCTATTCAGCTGACTGATAACCTTATTTCGTGAAATTAAATTTCATGGATGTTTCGGCCACCTTATTCATAAGAGTATTTTAGTATTTGATTTCGCCACCATAGATATGGATATCATCAGTCAATCAGAATAATATTCATTCATTTTAATAACCGAAAATTTTCCCGTAAAATCATCAAACACAAATTCGCAATACGTTCATGAATGAAGTCAGTATTCTCAAGGGTCAGTTCCCATATGGAGTCAACCAATTTATGAATGAGGCAGTAAATAGCTAGTGACAATCATTGATGACCATGGAATACAAGAGATCAACCGAAGTTAAACCATTGAACATATACTCTATGGTGATTGGATAATTTCGTGTTCTTCATGAAACATGAATGATGCGAGTTCAGTTCAATGTAGGTGGACATATGTGTACTCTACTAAACAGTACCAGATAACTTCAATTAAATATTTTCTCAGTGCTTCTTGATGACAAACGGTTCTCTAGTTGATGCTGGTCATTCGGTGGTGTTTTGTTCCTCGTACCAGAGGGTTTGGTTACAAAGCTCTCATTGTCATTATGAAATAGCACCCGAGTAGGCACGAAGTAGGGGCTAATGAGATCTCTTCAATGAAACTGTCTGGTTCAGAGAACACAACACCACCCAATGCTTCTACCTGAGTTACAAATCTTCATAATGTCAGCCGCTGTTGAAAAATTTGCCTCGACAAAATTTACATAATTGAATAAGTAAGTGAAAAAGAATTATTTTTTATAACTCACCTCTGTTGTAGCTTGAATCAAACAATTATATTTCAATAACAGTTCAACAATTTTAATTCGATTTTTTGACATGCAATATGTAAAGGTGTAAATCCATTCTAACAAAGCAAAAGAGGAAAATAATAAAACTTTTAATTATTGCAAACTTTTCTTTATTCATAAATGTAGTGAGTAGTTGCTACAGATTAATTGTAGCAGTATTGTTATACACCATGAAGCTCTAGATTGTTGTTTAGTCCTAGTATGGGACTTCTTACACCCACATCCAGTCAGGAACCAAAATCAAGAACTTCATAGGTTTCCCATTAAATGCTTAACATCTAAACCATTTGTTTGAGATCCAGTGACACACATTTCTAACTGCAATCAACGCACAATGTAATTTGGCTATCGTATATTATTAATATGCCATCAGAGTATGCTAACCAATGACTAGCTTCAAAATGGATCTTCAAAATTATAATGATAAGTTTCAACTGATGAGTCTCAAAAATCCCGAAAATGAGTGAATAATTAATGATGATATTAGATGAATGTAACGCAATACAAAGAATCAAGTAGTATTTTAAGTGCAAACAATTAAGTTTCCACTTAAATGTGAAATTGATTCCATACCGCTAGGTGCTGGGCTAAAAGTTATAAGGAAAAGTGCTGATACACTACAGAAAAAACCTTGAACTAAGATGACACAATGGTCAAATATCCTCCCAGATTTCAGCAGCTTAGCAGCTAATATCAATCTGTAATGAAATTTCCATGTATATATGTAAGTGAAATGTAAATACTAGCGAGTGATTCTTTCAGGTACACATGTTATTACCATGCAACTTAAAAGCTCTCTATTTGAATGTCAATTCAAAATAACTCAACTGAACCACACAATTAAATTCTACTTACATTAAAATTAGTGCTTCTAAAAAAATTTTGTTTACTCACTAAAACTAATGAAAATGCCTAGCCAAGAAAATCCATAAAAGGAACACTAGTAACAGCATCATTGATGAATAAAGAGATACTAATTAATTCAAAGAAAAAAGAAAATAATCAAGATGAAATTGAATAAAACCATTTTAACATAGAGTTCCGATGAATTTAAGATTTTAGAACCTTACTTTCGAGTTATACCAGTTATTGTTCATGTACTAGAAACCCTACTTCTATCCAATCACTTAAAAAGAAATATTCCAGTAAGAAAAAATATGAATTCATGAGGTAATAACTAACATTTCAACGCAGAAATCAACTATTACTAAGACAGTTTTATTTATGTGCCGGGACTAAGTTCGAGGAGTTGAAGTATAAAATAGAAAATAATCCATATTACGTAAGAGATAGTTATTAGTACTGTGTGATCTAGTTGATAACTCTTCTGAAACCTGAATCAAATAGTATTCTTATTTATTCTCATTAAGATTCGGCTAAGGACAAACAATTTAAATTCCGATGGTTACTGACGATTACAATCAGAAATACAATTAAAATAGTGACAATAATAATCTGGCGGTCTGCCTGAATATCTCGGCTACCTGTTCCTCCCATCTAGATATTTCAACAAGTTATCTGTATTTTTTGTTTATTTTAATAAATCATTATGCCTATTAGTCTCATAACCTATTCAGCTGCTTTTGTGAAACGTTTACAACCATTCTCTGTACAAGTTACAAAAATGTACAATCGGAAACATAGTGACGACTGGCAATATGCACTGAAATGTTAATATCTAACTGGCAATCACTCAATATTTATCCCAAGGATCGGTCAAGAAATAAGAAACGGAAAGTTGTTGAAATACTCTGTGCTGACAATTTTATTCTGTACCAAAAAATAATATTGAATAAACCCATTAATAATAATAAATAAATAAATTTCACTGATTGAAATCATGAGTCAATTGAAGCTAGACCACCATGGAAAGCCTGGAAGCACTGGACGGCCGTTTCGTCCTAGTATGGGACTCCTCAGCAGTGCGCATCCACGACCTCGCCCCCTGCGAGACTCAAACCCAGGACCTACTGGTCTCGCGCGCAAGCACTTAACCACTAGACCACTGAGCCGGCATCCAACGGTGTTAATGTCTAACTTCAACCAATCCACGAAGTTGCGCCACCGTACACCATTGTCTTCAGTGAGTTGATATCTCACAACCGACCTCGTTGAAATCCACGGGTAACGGCTTCTCACTAGAACTCCAGGAGTGCCTCTTGAGGTCAGTCACTAGTGAGCAGATGATTATTATCAGAAGGGGTTTTGTGGAGATTTTAGAAATCTCCATGGTGGTCTAGCTTCAATTGACTCATGATTTCAACCAGTGAAATTTCTAAAATCTGAACAAAACCCCTTCTGAAAATAAATAAATAACAAAAAGTCATCTATGAACAATGTTTATAGACTAGAAAAGGTCAACCAATTAAAAAGTACAAGTTAGAATTCATGCCATTCAATATCACCAAAAGATAAACTGTAAATAAAATGAAACATATGTATCATCCCCATTTTTTCTTATTGATATATGCAAGTACATAAAATCGAATACCAATGTTTTCCTTTAGATGAATAATTCACACGATTGTGAAAAATAAGCACTTCATAGGATAACTGGAAATTTTTTGTCAGATTATGATAGGAAAGAAATAATAATGATATTCATAATAATAAAAGTATTATACATTTGATATCCTTTGTTCTAACCTACCAATTGCAAATTGTTTGAGGTCAAGTGAAACAAGAATATGTTTCTAACCGTGGGAAGTGACAAAAAAATCTATATTAATCATATTTTATAATATCCAAAAGAGATATTCGTATCTATTACAATCATTAAATGTGAAAATCAAATTTCTTGATTTGGTATTTATCGCAGAATAACATCAGCTAAAGAATCACTGAAAACCAAGAATTAGTAGATAGTTGTGTGAGGTGGTTAGAGATAGTCGATAAAAAATCCCAAACCTACGTTTCGTGTTATTTGGAACACTTCAGCAAGTTATACCTGTGACCTGCAGGAAACGAATGATCCCATTGGGATTTTAACTTGAATCACCCAGCTTCATAGTATGAGATATTATCACAAAGCTATTTGGACAATGACTGTCTTCCTGTGAGGCTGAGATAATTATGACTGGTCACTGAGTAGTGGCCAGTGTTATGATCGTCTTGTTCTTTAACACTGATCGACCAAATTGTTATGTGGCCACTCGATCAACTAATTATACAGACAGTTATTTTGTTCTACGTTGGGACAATGTTAAGATACATACCCTCAAATAAGACTAAGAATGAACCTCAAAAAAACTTCAAGTTTCATATCAAATACGTTAAATGTAGAACAATGAATTTTAATTCTGTGGTTCAAAAATTTTCAATTAATTTGTGATACAATGAGACCTTTCTAACAATGTCACCACTCAGTTACAATCTCATCGCTAAACAAGTTTACCTTATAAGTCAGAGTTTCATTGTAATATCGTTTCTTTATTTTGTAGTTAATGAATATCAATCTATAGTGGAATTAGTTTGGGACAAGGATCATCTGTAAACTCTAGAAAACATTTTCACAAAACCACTATTTATGAAAAAATATATTTTTAAATATAACCTGAATAATTCTTAGTCTGCTATGAAGTTCTAAAAATAAATCAATATTCCCAGTCATGTATAACAATTTATAATTTTAACTATTCTCCCTTTTCTACATATCCCATTCACAATGCTCTCTATATTTTATTCATCTGTCAGTGGTACATTAAAGTAAATAACTGAAGTGTAACTAGATTAAAATATAGATAAGTTATTTAAGCTAGAAATTCAAAAGATAAACGGTGCATAACACTACAATCATACACACAGGCACGCATGAATTATTTAATAATGCTTGGGATTACGATAGTAACACTAGGAAGTGGGGCAGAAAGAAATAAGAATATAAACATAAAAAATCTAAAACTTATCAGGATAGTCGGCTTACAATGCAATCTTGGGCGTAACAGAATTAGTTTGACTTGAATCAGCATAGCGTTGAATAAATGATTAAATAATAGCAGTATATATGGGCAACAAGGTAAAGAAAAAAGTACTAAAGAGGACATATATATATATATCCAAATTTACTATTATAGTGTAAACAACAATCTTTGTTTTCTTTCATGTTTTGTTCTTACAAATTATATAACTTAAAGAGTGATTATAAGCACTCAGCTAACTATTATGAGTTACGAACTACTACTTAAAAAATAAGGAAAGTAATAGAAGTGGTTGTATTAAAATCAATCAGTATTTTTTCAAATATTTAATGTTATATTTTTAATTGGCATTTCTTACAAAAAAACGCGCCCTACTTCAAATGATTTGTACGATTGAATAGAGTGAAAGGATTGAAGTAAGATAGGATTTTACATTGAGAAAAAACTATAAACTCATATATTGAGATGTCACTGAATTTATTAATCTGTAGTATAAAGTATTAAAATAATGTAATCATTTTAATTTTGAATAAATAAATCTCAGTATAAAACGTTATAGGAGATTGTTGAGTTTCATAGTTTGAATCATGAGTCGATTTCGATTAGACAATCACTAAAAGCTGGAATGCACTAGACAATTATTTTATCCATTTTCAACAATCCGCACCTGCGACCCTACCGGAGATCATACCCTACACTTTCAAGTCTCTCAGAAAACTCTTAGTCTCTAGACCATTGTGATAGTATTCTGTGATTTATATTTGTAGCTTCAATTAATTTGCGATGCTGAACAACCTTCTATCAATTTCACTAGTAGTTAACCGGTACATACCCAAAATGGTTGAACTCGATTGGTCATGGCTTCTAATTATGAGCCAGAGAATTATTTCTCAAAATTGGTCAACAGTTAGTGTACAAATTGTTATTTAGGATTGAATTGTATATCATTTCTTTTTCCACTCAAATCAGAGTAGTGAATAGATTATTTTGATAGTTAACCGGAATTAGTTGTACTCTTCTAAAACAAGTTTTAACAATATACTACTTTAAAACACATATATGCATTTATAAATAAGAAATATTCTTTCTACCAAATTCTCATCAGGTTCAACAGATATAAGTGCAAATTAATGATTTCA